ATCCATGGAGCGATAGCCCTCTCCTCATTGGCTGCAATCTCTCTTTTGCCCTATTGCTTCGAGAGAGTGCGGGTTCCCTCTTCTTTCTCGTCAGTTTATGGTCGAGATTGGAGAGATACAATTCTAATTTCGACATCGGAGAGGATTACGCATATACTAGGCGCCCATAAATTATTTGAACAATTTTGTGACTTCACGGTTTTGAAACCAGAAACGTGAGAACATCCAAACTTGTCCCACAAGTTGAAAATATGCTTAGGTTTTTCCACGCAAATTCGGTGGAGCATGTTTGGTGTGACAATCGCTTACACTGCCTCGATTCGGTTCCTCAGGTCCGAAAGTATTTTTGGCATGGTTGAGACGTTCAAGTGGCCTTTGACCCTGCCCCACAGGAAAAAAATTATTGTGCCAGTCGTAAGTGACCTCTCCTGGAGAGAGGATCTTGGGCAAACTCAGTTGTGAACTTCTTATGCACTGATGTTGCACTTTTTGTTTCATTGAACCACATAATGAAAATAATTTTTTTTTGTCGGCGGAAGCGATTTTTAAAAATCCAACGATTCGCACGCATCTGAGATGGTTCAGTGATACCAACATACCCATAAAAACATAATCTCTCGTCTTTCAGGATAGAATTAAATGTGGGGTTTTACAAAATTCACATCTCAGTGCATTGGATTATAACGATTCCCGAAGCTTCATCGACCCGACGTTGCCTTATCTAAGAAACGTTGTTACTCAAGAAATGAAATTCCGATATACGAGGTGTTTCTTTACATTATTGGCATTTCCTTGTTCAAGAAGTGAGGCCAATCTGACCGACATGGACTTGGTGAGCCTATTCCTCTTCACTCAACGAAATTGCTCAAATTTTCCATGAACTTACAGACATCGGCGAGTCACAAGATCAAATGATCGCGAAATTCCGACTCCTCTGTTCTTTATAAAAAATGCACTGTTAATAAACTAAAGCAATTTATGGGAAGCTTAAAATATTGAGTGTGTCTGTCAATAATTGTTCATGCATTCGGAGGTGATTCATGGTCACGTCATTCATTATTCACGCCTAAAATCCCGTTTCTTTGCTTGATTCCAGAAAACTTAAGTGGAAAAAAATATTTGATTTTCTCTTGGTATTGTTTCCGGACATTAAACATCTCGGATGGCGCATTGGACCTATTGCATGCGTCAATCCTCTGACAACCTTCTCACGATTCGCCTCATCCGCCGCCATATCCCCTCTCGCGTCATCAATGACGATAGCACTTCCGGGAAATGCGGTCTAAGGGTCGCAAATATCGCAACAGTTTTATTGATAGTAAACGGGAACTTCTGTTCGGGTGTGCATGCACAGTGAGTAGGTGGCATGGATTTGGAAGAAATGGTGACAGACATTCCGTACGTCCTCCTCCAATTTCTCATCCTCCTTCAAATCCCTGGCAACTGTCGGAAAATATACGGGGAGGAGTTATCAAAGAGAATATCCGAGTGCGAGGAGAAATATGGGGAATTTGACCCAGGGAAGAAAGTGAAATCGTCTCAGTCGGAATTTGACCCTGTCCCGACAGCCGACCCTTATTACCACGATGACTTCGAGGTCAAGCACGGTCATAACGACACCCCTGTCGAGGCTTCGATAATCCGCCCCTCTCCGGTTCTTGGCCTAGATGAAACGAAGAAGATTCTCGTCCCGAAATGCTGTCCACTGGAAGATGGCTTTGATTTAACTCAGAAAAAATGCGTCTTTCGTCCCTTTCAATGGACACCTCCAATGTTGCACATAGAGTCAGGAGAGACACGGAATCTGTCACTAGATGAATATGAACTCCTTCTAGACGACCTGTCATCCAACCCCTGCTCCAAGTATATTTTGTACCCGGGCAGCAATTCACGGGAGTATTTCGAATTCCAGGAGACAGGGCAACTCTACGTCCCTCACATGAATTCCACATATCAGAACGGGGTATTCTGTTTGGATCAAGGACTCCTCTCCAGTGGATCCTGGATCCAACTGGCTCAGATCTGTGACCCAGCAGAGGAAAAAATCCTAAAGCAATGCAAAGGGAGTCCGTGCGTTCAAAAGTGTTGCCCCTTGATGGATTTCCTGGTCATCTCCGAAGAGACAACCCAATGCAGTCCAACGGGGAAACTGTGGGATCCCAGGGACCATTTCCGATTCCATCAGGATGTCGGTCCTCTTGGTAAGGACGAGATCCACGTGATCACGAGTTACCCGAAATGTGGGGGGATTTCCGTCGGTGAACAACTGCTGCAGCCGACTAACGATCCGAGAGACATCTTCTCTTTCACCCGGTCTGGGGAACTGCAAGTAGGGGAAACTGGGGGCTCGATCCAGGTGCCTCGATATTGCATCGATAACATCGGCAACGGCAACGAGGCGACACAGGCTGCGGTTATCGTTTGCTCCTCGGAAATTCCAAAGCTCGGAGAACTCCTTGAAACTAAGGCGATGTTCATCACCTATTCCGTGCTCCTGATTATCTTGTCCACGTTCCTCCTCCTCACCTTCCTCCTCTACCTGGCTTTGCCCGAAAGCAAGAGTGTTCACGGAATAACTCTTCTCTCCTATGTCGGCTGCCTCCTGGTCGCCAGCATTGCCCTCTCGGTCAACCAAATCGGCGCTCGGAACAACATCTCCCATTTCTTCTGCTTTGCTTCAGGTGTGATTATGCTTTCATTTCAGTTGTTCGCATTCCTGGGAAGTAAGTACTTCACGGTGGATATCGTCATTACTTCAAGCGGCAATTGCGTATAAGCTATGGCGGGTAAATCGTACGTTTGACAGGAAGTGGCGGATCGCCTGTCGTCCGAAGAAACGAAAGAGGTTGGGTTAGGTTGGAAATACGGGAATGATTCATCAAGCACTAAAAGCGTTAATTTTCCTTTACCATGAATCAAGAAAAAAATAGGTGAAGAAAGGACATTGGATTCAATGAAAGAGATTCCCATGAGATAGGACTTTTTGCACCACCCTGTATATACTCATCGCCAAAAAAGGACAAAAAGGTGTTTTGCGATCTTGATGAAATTTGATATTTGAGCTCATACTAGAACACCATGAAATCTATTAGAATTTCAAGCGAATGGGATTAATAAATACGGACAAAACTGGTAAATGCCCGAGAAATTTGGCCGCCAGCAGGACCCTTGAAGTTGCCAATTTCCTTTGCTCTTTTTTCTCAAGTCATTTAACTTATAGAACATTATGACGTACTGCGAGGAAGTTTCGAGGAAGTTTCGTCGAAATCGCCTTCTAGGAAGGCGATTTCGACGAGTTGCTAGGGTGTTTCATGCATGGAGTGTAATTGGGATGCTTATCCTGCATCAACTTGATGCATGCAAATCCGAGCTTCAGTACCAAATTTCATCAAGATCGTTCAAGTCTATCCTGGCCTTCTTTGGCAGTGAGTATATATTGTGAAAAAAGCTTTGTAATAAGTGATGACGTGTTTCAATTGATGCACCCTGTATATTAACTGCGTCCATTCAAATTCCTCCCAAAAAGCTTTATTGATAAGAGAAGTTTACTTCATCTGAATTTATTGCGAAATTCCGAATCTTTGTTTCCAGGAAACATTGAACATTCACCAGTTAAGAAGTAGCCGGAGGAAGGGTGGGGGGAGGGTAACCTTGGATCTTTGTGTCATAGACCCATTGAGACTCCTTCAACAGTTGCCATGTAAAGAAAAGTGAACTAAGAGGTTAAAGTTCGCTTTCCGTCGGCATTGAATTCGTAAGGATCCCTCCCGGAATTCCAAGAGAAAAGACTAAAAAGCAAGAGCTATATCAACCGAAAATGTCTAAGTAAGAGCTCAGGTTTTTTTTCTCTGGGAAGGAATGCAATAAATTATTTGTAGAACTTCAAAGGTCATTATAGATTATGGTTTTATTTTTTACCTTTTGTAGCCATGGTCACTTTCTACGGGTGCCTCGCAGCATTCTTCTGGCTCAACGTCATGAGCTTCGACGTCTGGCGGGCCCTCAGGTGAGCATGGAGATCCGCCGGCGTTCGTTTCCGATGAAAGGACAAATGCCATCGTCGGTTGGGTGCTCGAGGGCTGAGAGGAGAATTGGTCTCGTGATTAAAGATAGGGCAGAGGCACGGAAAATTTGTTCCATGTACTTTACACCTCCTTTTGGTTGGTTTTCCTTTGGGGGATTCATGCGGGTCTGGTATATCCACTAATATAATAGATATTTCAATGTCTTTGCTCTTATCTCCTGAGACTTGAACAATTTTTTTATTGATGAGATAATTTTTAGCTTCAACTCCTTGATCACACTCCCGTGTATTTGTTATTTACATCTCTCCATATCTCTCTATATATGGATGAAAGAATCGATGCTTGCTTGAAATTATCTTCGGGCGTCCTTCCTCTCATTTGAAATACGAATTCCCTGCAGGGATCCGAAAATACCTTCGCAAGGGAGGGGGAAAAGGAGAAAGTTGCTCGTTTACGGCCTTTACGCGTTTGGGTTCCCGGCGTGCATCGTAGCCATCGCGTGCATCGTGGAGTTCGTCCCTGGGATCCCCGCTTATGTCATTAAGCCGGATTTTGATTCCACCCGACGATGCTGGCTCAATGGTATTTCCATTTGTATGTCCGATAATAATTCAAAACAGTGATCGCCGTGAGGTTCTACACATTTTCCGATAGCTGCTTCAGCTGCTTTCCATGAATCTCCAACTCATTTATTCGAAGGAAACTAGAGATATCAAGGACAAAACCTCTTCCCTTGCCATTTAGATTACGCTGGAAACATGTTGTACTTCTACGGGCCAATAGCCTTGCTCCTCGTCGTCAATGCCGTCTTCTTTGCTCTCACCAGTCTTCATTTGATTCGGCACGCCAGAGACACGTCTCATCTGACACGAAGTCGAAATCAGAAACAGTAAGTTCCTGCCATTTTTCCTGACTTGACTGCTGATGAGACGTCGGGGACATGAAGGCAACCGCTGTGAAAGAAACATATTCCGTCTACGCGGGATTATTATCCCCTCTTTTTCCTGCAGATTTTGGCTGTTCGTGAAGTTGTTCGTGGTGATGGGATTGAGTTGGGTGACTGAGGTCATCAGCTTCATCACCAAGGAGCCAAAGGAGCTTTTCCTTCTCACGGATGCCGTCAACTGCCTTCAAGGGCTCTGCATCTTCATCATCGTCATCTGCAAGAAGAAAAACATGAAGACCCTCAAGAAGACGGTCGGTCGGTGTTTCCCCTTGTTGGGAAGTCGAGACAAGCGAAACAAGACCAGCACCGAGGATATGGGATCACTACGCGGAGCGGCCGGTCGCCCGGGGACGGCGGATGAAGCGTCAAGGGGAACCATTCAGGGAGATGAACGCACCAACTCTTCTGAAGGATCAGGGAGCCCTCCTACCGAGTCTTCGCGTATCTGATATTTTTACTTAAAAAGAAAGATTTTTGCGTGGGTGGTATGTGAAACGTGCGGGAGGTTAAGACAGGTGCAGAGTCTTCTGGAATTGCTTCCGTCCGTTCCTCAGAGATTCTTCGGCATCCTTAAGCATCGTCGTGAAAGCCAAGGATGAGAAAAGAGACTCCTCACAGATTGAACAAGTTTCCCTAGAATCTTCAACGCCTGACATCGCTCGATCCAACCCCAAGGAGGCACGTGCATGGGACCGCACGAAGGCCGAGAATGATTCAATCTGGAATCTGTGGAAGCTGCACCGAAACTTGGTTTCAAATGTGAATTTGAATGGAAGTCGTGTTATTTTTTTATTTCTCATTTTCTTCAATACCAGTCCAGTTCAGCCTCAAAACCATGTCCATATCCATTTCTACGGCACAGCGAAATGATTGTACTTATTGCAATTGCATCTTCTTTGAAATTATCGTAGTCTCCGTTTACACGTCCGAGTTTTAGAGAACCTGCACTTTTTTTCGTATTTATATTTCATGGCGCCCTATATCTTGATTTCTTGGCGTGAGCGAAAGAGAGTCGATTTGAATATAGAATTCCTATAGTATTTTCATCTAGTGTCGTCAGGTACCTTAGGAATGCCTAAAACTTTTCAATGTTCTCCCCTTTAAAGTGTCACTTTAAAGGGGAGAACATTCCTAGCGGCGGTAATATTTTTTTTTGCAGTTTAGCGCGACGGCTTAACCAACTCTTACTGGTGAGCTCTACCCTTCGTTTCCAACCTGAATGTTGCGAAGTGCTCTCTCGTGAAAGTACACCCTCTCATTCCTACAAATAATATGTCAATGAGTTACAGACTTCAAAGCTCCTTCCATTCAGTTTAGTGCTAAGTACATCAAGTGCTAGTCAGTACTTAATATCTGTATCTCAAAAACGGAAAAAGTATATTTCTTAGAGCATGTTATTCCAATAACCACATTCGTTCATGCGATGCTCATAATGCATCTTATGGTTTAAAAATTAAGGCAAAACAATGATTTTCTACTTAGTGGAATCCACTGTATGTATCCCAGTAGCACCAGATTTTGACCCAATACTGAACCAACATTGGGCATGCTGGCTACACGTTTGCCAATATTAGCAAATATAAGCGAAGCAAGTATATTGACGAAGCTATGCGTCCCTAATATTACGGTTCCATCACCGATCCAATATCGGGTTGATACAATGATCCTGCATTCAAGATGCATACCATGGGCGTCCGCTGCCAGGGGCAAGGGGGGGCACTTGCCCACCCCCCCTGGAAATCGGGCATGGAAATTTACTGGTAGTATTAACAAAGAAATTTAATGTACTTCATGTGGAAATCTCTTCTTCCGTAGCACCATTTANATAGGGACGTACTCTAAATATGTGTTCGCCATTTCGCAAAGAATAAATGAATTAATTACTATCCAAGGTAATGGAGCGCCGAAGGCGCGACTATAGCGAGTTTGTTTGCCCGAAGGGGAAACAAACTCGCTAGTATGGAATATGAGCTTCTTTAGGCCCTGGGCCTGGGCTTCATGAATCTGTCTCGAATATGGGTATGATAAATGATGGAATGACCGCCTTTATTCATTCCTCTTCTGAGACATGGCAAGAAACATGGCGAGGTACTAAACATTACTGAGAGGGACGATCTAAAGAAAGGGAGAAGGGCACTTTAGTTTACTGTGCAAAAAGTGAGACCCATCCCTCCATCTAGTGGCCTGGAGGGGAACCTCAAAGTATCTCTACAACTTCGAAGTGCAACTTGGATCATGTATGTATGCATCATGGGCGTCCGCTGGCTTATTCCCAGGGGGGAGCAAGGCACAAGAATGGCAGAACAGATGCACACACAAGTGTAATTTATCTTTCGTAAAATGATGATAAAGTACAAGGAATTATACCAGAGTAATTCCATCTCAAATCAGCCAGAGGCTGGAGCATGACCCCCTCCGATATTTATAAAAAAAATTTTCATGTGGTACTCCTCGTGACCCAAAGTTAGATTGTAAAATTTTGGTTTTGGGGTATGGAACCGTTTTAGCACAATAATTTGCTAAATTTTGTGAAATTAAAAAAGGTGCACCTCTTCACACTCATGTGAGCCAAAAACTTTCTGACCAAAACGAACGCAGCGAACACCATATTTAGAGTACGTCCCTATTGAAATACGTGACAAAAATGAAGACTTTCGTCCCCATATATCAAAATCAGTACTTCCATTATTTCTAGCGTGCCTAACCTGAAATCTTTTCATGTGTCCCTCAATGTAAGGGTGGAGAATACATTCGGAAATACTTCCCTCCTATAATCTACGCTAAGGGGACATATTTCAAAGTAGGATTTTTCTTGTACTCATCCATCAAATAAGTACTTCTGAGGGAATTTTAAATTTTCCGTCTGTTTTGTTGAATCAAAAAAAAATCTGGAAAATGGGACTTTAAAAAAAGTGCCCTGATGGGTTTTAACGAAATTTTTTTCTTCTTCTGAAATGTAGACTCAGGAAACTCCATGTCACCCAGTTTCAGCCTCATACGTTTTCCCTTTTTACTGGCGGTAAAAAAAATATATTTGGAAAAGCGACCCACCCAAAAGCTGTGCTTTGAGGAGACGCACAACAAAAGTTGAATTTTCCTTAAATCAACATCACGTCCGTTATGCGTGCGCCAGCTATTTTTGTATATCTGCCCGATTCGGTAGGATATGAAAAATTATTTGAAAACGATACGTCCCCAAGAAATATCCCCCCAAAACTCCAATATTTTGGAATTTTGACATTTTTCCTGAGCTTAGTGCGTCAGCAGTCACGTTCTTGCCAAGTTTCAGCTTTCCATGTGTCTTTGTTTGATTGAAGCAAAGAGAACTATTTGAAAATATGTTCCCCGAAAAGGTGTGCCCCTATGGCATGTATCACTAAAGTATAATTTTTTCTTTACTCAGCTATTCATCAGGTATTTCTTTGGCAAGTTTAAACTTTCTAGCGCCATCTGTTTTGCTGGATCGATAGATTAGACTGTTGGGCGGTATTGTGCCAGCCCTCATCTGACTAGCATCTTGAATGTGAGTTTGGCTGGCAATGTAGCAGCTTAGTGTGTAAGGCGTCTGTCATATTCCCAGAGTGAAGCAATGTTTCATCACGTTTTGTCTCAATCCGGGGAATACAGCTGCAGCGATCCATCAAATGTTGCANTCATATTCCCAGAGTGAAGCAATGCTTCAAATTTTGTCTCAAACCGATCAATACAGCTGCAGTAATCCATGAAACGTTGCTGAAGTGTCTTGAAAAGTTCCTTGTTATGCTCCAATAATTTTGAATGACCTTCAAGGCCTTTAGCAAGTAATGAAGACACTCAGATCCACCTCAACCGAAACTATCACCAACCATTCACCCAAGGGATGGCTGAACCAATCATTATTTTTTACTGGCTGAAAGCCTTGAAAACTATTCAAGATTCTTGAAGTATGGCAAGACAGCTTGTCCAGGCACTTCTTGCAACATTTGATGGATCGCTGCAGCTGTATTCCCCGGATTGAGACAAAACGTGATGAAACATTGCTTCACTCTGGGAATATGACAGACGCCTTACACACTAAGCTGCTACATTGCCAGCCAAACTCTCATTCAAGATGCTAGTCAGATGAGGACTGACACAACACTGCCCAACAGTCTAATCTATCAGTCCATGGAATGAAAATAATTTTTCTGATATTGACAGACTCACAAAAAAATCAATCCTGGAACTTCATTGCTAGACCTCGTATTGTGATTATAATTTGAACGCAATTAATGAGCATTTAAAATTTGTCGCATGGATCTCGACCTCATTCTCAGAGAACTGCATAGGCCCTGAGATGTGTTCACTGCTGCCTGTAAGTTTGAGTGGGGAGGAGTTTACTGTTCACCAATTAAGTTACATGATTACTCCGTTATATTACTTGTACATCGAAGGTTTTCTTGATGCATCAGCCTAATCAACATTTGACATCATCATCAAAATTCGGTAACGTCGAATCCTTGAAGAACTTGCCAACTTGAAGCACTTGATGTGCTCAAATACCTACATTCTTGGCACAAATGAAATTCCGCGAAATAAATTGATAGGTACTCGAATAGTTGCGTCAGCTATTCTATTTGTTAACCTTTTTTTGCCAGGCTGCAGTATAATATGGGTGTATGTACTACATCGTAGTTATACCATCTGCAAGGTGTCAATCCAATCCATCCATAGAAAAGACAGGTAGATGCGCACTGCCATCGCATCTGAAATCTAACCCAATCTGATAAGTTTTCTGATGAAGCCTCTTTGTCCACGGGAACAGGAAATACACATCAAAAGAGGTGGTCGCCAAAGACGCCGGGCTCCTCTTTTCCTTCGAATGAGTTTCGCAGCGTTCCTCTTACGTGTCGGTGCGTTCTCCAGCAGCTGCTGTGCCTGATCGACGAGAGATGTGCCATCATCCCCTAGAATGCGACCGGCAATTTGATCCCGACCGTGGTTCAGGGACCCAGCGTCTTCCTCGTCTTCTGTCTCGTACAGATTGCTGTCTGCTGCGTCTGGAGATTCGTCCTCCGGGGGATCTCCATGTCCATCTTCACCTCCACCGTAGATTTCTTGGTTTTCGAGGCCTCGTGCTCGATCGTGTCGTCCGGAGAGACTTTGAGCTCCGTTTACCTGATCAAATGAGGTTCATCCATATTCGTGAAAACTTTTCTCAAGGAGCAGACGAGAAGAGACAGATGTAATCATTGAGAACGAAATTTCGTGCAGAATCTCAAGAGTCGTGAATTTTCACGCTGAAGGAGAGTGGTACAAGAAACATTAAATTTTTCAAAGGTGGAAATTGTCCTTTCAATGAATGATTACACGAGGCAAGTTCTTGCACGGGCCAATTCTGACAATTGATTACCGAGGAAACACAATTTTCACCGAGAAACAAAAACCAAAGGGCCCGTCCTCTCCTAACATTCTGCGGGGGACTGCCTCACGCCAACGGGTTCTAACGTAAAATTCCAGCTCAATCACTTGTCGTTGCGAATTGCTTTAAGGCCTTCAAGGATATGGAACAGTTGGGAAAGTCGAAGCAAACACTTGCCAGGACTTGGTAACGCAAAGCAAGTCGTGTAGAGACGAAGCAAACTACTGGGCTAGTCCTTGTTAGCAAGAACTTGCCTTTTGTATCGGGACCTCAAAAGTGTGTGGTGAATGATCTATCATGGTAATATGCCACACGACTTTTCCCGAAAAGAGAATAAGTTGCTCTAAAACTTTAGGCTTTAAAACTAGACTTTTCCTACAAGCCGTACGTTTCCTACAGTATCCAGGTTTTGGACATGTGGCATCTCGACCATTGAACACCTTTCCTGAAAAATGAAAGCTGATGGTGCACCGAGTGCACTTATGTGCAGAAAAAAATAACTTACCTTTTGGAGAGCCGTCGCGTACTGCCAGATAACAGCTGACGAGATTCTCGTCTGACACAAGAACCAGCACGCTGCGAGCACCTTAAATAGAAATAGCAGTAAAAATCACTATTCATTCTGTATTCATCCTGCAAAAGAAGGCGGGACAATTGGTATTTTAACTGGAGTCCCAACGCAGGTACAGGTCTGCCATTCCGTAGGCTCTGGAATTATCTCCCACTACCCCATTTCAACGAACCCTCATAAAAAAATCTGTCATTGGTACATCGTAGTGAATATTCCCGGACAACTCCACAATGTCCTCGCTGGTTTACACGTCCGCGTCGCATGGAGGTCGGAGGCGAGTATGACGTTTAAATTGCCAGATGGGGCATTTCACGAGTCAGTGAATCCCTGTCCACGCTGCCTGAAAGCAGTCGCTCCATCTCATTGTGTACTATGGATCCGTCATCCTCGAGGGTAGGAGGGAAACTGGAAAATTGAATCATGCGTTGACTGACACTCTAACCCAAGCTGACGATTGCACGTGAGCAGTGAGTCGAGTCGTCCGGTTGCTATGAAAACTGCTGACAGACTCACTGAAAAGGAGAAAAAAAAGAGACAGACACAGCAATATCTGTCTTTTCCCCATAGGTCTATTAGGGAATTACATAACGATGACGTACATTCCCATAAGGGAATTACATAATGGTGACTTCACTTGCAGTTCATTAAAGGGTAAATTAAAGGGTAAATGGAAAGCACATACGTAACTCGCAGAAATATGCAATTTAATGTACTCACGCCTTTTCTTTCTGAGCGCTACTCCCCTACGTTAAAAATGTGGAATTCGGAAGGTGCTGAGTTTGCCTTTACTCTAAAAAGTCATGGACTCACGATGGCAGCCTTCATGTGGATAGGCGGAGGGTCACTCTAGGATGACATGAGAGCAGATTTTCGACGTGGATCTTGCTTTGTCTGTGGAAAATGCAATCGAGATGCATCCTATATAACCGCAGTTATCAGGCTCCGATGACGAATTCTTCATCGTCATATCCTTGAATGACCTTGGCTTCGCAGGAAGTCCTTCTCGGCTATCCTTCCTTCCATTCGTGATATTCGTCTCCTTCCTCGGGAAGGATATATTCCCTCCGGGGATGACGCTCTTTCCGGCGGAAGTATACTCGATGATTCGGTTTTTCTTTCCTCAATGGGGTTGATGACCTGGGTTCTCTTTTTCCAACCTGGGTCAAGGAATCCGTTGCAAGTTAGCTGCACCATTCATCCGGTTGTAATACTCCTTGAAGCAGGCCTCGCCTTTTGGGTTTGCTGCTGTGGAGTACATTCATCACAAGCTACAACTAGAAGACGTCGATCATCCTGGTCGCGAGAAACGGACGATCGCGAGATAAGTGTACGACCGAAACGTGAAGTCCTGCTGCAGTAGCACCAGATATTGGCTTTAAAAAAAGCAATCCCTGAGCCTTTCAGCAATTGCCGCGTGGTCAAAACTTTGAAAAATAGGGCTTCATCAAACAGAAGCTGAACGTTTAATCTTTTTCGAAACCCATGAACAGGTAACGATTCAGCTCTGGCATCAGGAGCTCGAAACGTAATAGCATAGGTGCGATCATTGAATTTAAGTTTTTCACCATCATCAGGAAAAATAAATAAATCGGATGGAATAATTTAAAATTGAACAAGGATTCTAAATATACTTAAAATGTTTTTCTAGCTTCTATAGTTTAGGCTGTGGAGGGGGGGGGGGTGCTGTTTATGTGCAACACCAGTTGGACATAGACAGTGCAACACCTGCAACACCAACACCAACACCAGTGCAACACCTGTACGCAATGGTACAGGAACGCATGTCCTAGAGTAAGTGACTATAAGGGGCCGCGCAAGAGGAGTCGAGAGGAGTGATAGTCGGGTCCGGATTCAAGTACACAGATAATGCTGCTGCTGAATTCCAATATTTTCCATTTACTTGCCTTTATTGAAGGAGTTCTATACGATTTCGTTATCAGTAAAGGCGGGCACTAAGACAACTCATATCTTCCCTTCTCGCCCCAAAGATAGTCCATTATTGCCACGTTTTTCCAGAGGAAAGGACAAGGCAGCCGAAGTGAGGAGGCATTTATGTATAATACGAGAATTAAAAAATGAAAATTCAGGGAGAGAGGGAGAGAGAGATAAGAAGAAAGTGGGAAAAAGAGATAATGAGAAAAGGAGAGGAGAGAGAGAGAGCAAGCGAGTGGTCGAGAATGCCCGAAGTGGATTTCTCAGCGAGGACCCAGAGAAATTTTCCCTTGGGAAGCCCGGGTAATTAACCCTTAAACTGTCGAGTTTTCAAGTGGAATTCTGAACTTCTTTTCTCGCTTTTTTTTTAAAATGATTTTTCTGTTATTTTCAATTATTTTTTTCCCAGAATATAGAACCATATTCAATAAAATGTTGATGGAACCAATATATTTTGATTCTAACTGACGAAACTGCGACACTTTCCTTGAAATAAATAAGGCGGATGAAAAATTGAAAAAAAAGAAGAAAACACGACGGCGTTGATCTGGGTGCATACTCAGGCGGGACCGTCAAAGGGTTCATGCCCAGCCTTCGTCCTTGTGATGCAGGGCTGGGGAATCTGATGCTTGGGGATTCGTCATGGCATTGAGGATCCATTTCGACTCTGTTCACCATTGAATAGCAGCCATGTGTTTGCCAGGTTTCATGAAATGGAATGGAGAAAGGAAACCACAAAAGAAGCAATCTGCAATGATTGAAGAAAACTGTCGACAGGATGAGACTCTTGTCTCAGACGTGTTTCAAGACGCATATGGCCCTCTGCTCATCCGGAGCTCGGGAAAAAGGTGTGGAGCCGTCCGGCATAACGAACTGATTCACTTGGAAGTCCTGGAGCAATTCGTAGCCCAGCAGGGACGCCAATTGCTGATGATAGAGAAAAGAATCCTTCATCGCTGATGCTCGATCAAAATACTAAGGATTTCGTGTGAGAGATGAAGGTCGAAGTACCTGAGTGAGGGCGTTGGTGTTGGTGGTGAGAATGGCAGAATATCCCTTCATTTTGGCCAAGCGAATGATTTCTTCCTCCATGACTTGAATGATGAGGACGTTTTCCTGCTTCGACACACTTTCGTCCGTGGCCATCATGAAGCTGTGGATCACCTTTTCTCCCCGAGGAATGTGAAGGCTCCTAAATGATTCGTTCCAACCCATGACGACGATAAAGGAGGAGACTCTTGCATCGGCAAATGAAGCGAGTACGAACTTATTCGGACTTTCCACCGAGTCGAGCAGGGTCAAGACGGGTAGCAGGGCCTCTGGTGGGTCCATATCGGGCTCTTTGGACAGGTCCAGATTGAAAGCTACCGCGATCAATCTCCCATCGTGTCTTCGGACCGAGAAGCTGGGGGGAGAGAAAGGTGGGAATGGAGGGAGGTGAGACAGAGCAGGTGGGTCATTCCAGGTCAAGTGGTCCCATTTTCGCCAGGTTGGTTCCTGCACAGACTGGGATTTTGCTGTGAAAAACCACATGTGCTGCGGCTTATGAGAAACTGACAAATCCGAAATATCAGCTGTCTAGGTCAAACGGTCTTTGAGATATGGCCTTTAAAAATTTGAGAGGGAAGGGTAAAATGACCACTGTAACAAATGCCATATCTCCCGAACTACTTCAGCTAGAAATATGAATAATAGGTCATTTCAAAGCGAGTAGCCAGACATCTTTAACTTTCTCCACGGGATCTACCGTGCCTTAATTAGAAAAAAGTTACAGTTTTATGAAATTCATGAAGTAATCAAATTTTCAACTCTAAGAAGTTCACAGTAAAAATGCATATAACTGGATCGGCTTTGGAGTGTCTATCATGCTCTATGAGACATATCCAAAGAAGCATGTATTTTATTTTTATATCGCTTCAAAACTCTGCGAAGTGTACTTAAAGTTGCAAATTTTGCAATATTTGTTTAATTTTGACCTTCAATAACTTTTATTTGATTCCAAGTACAGTTATGCTCATCCTATAGAACAACAGCTCTCTCAAAGTTCTTTCGAGTCTCATAAGTTTGATGGAGTTTTTATTAAATCCTGATGGTTGGGAAATATTTTCCCTGTAATATCTCGAGGGAGATTCAATATCAGGCGCTTAATTCCACCTCGATTATGTTCGAGCAGGAAAACATGTACCTGATATGAGAGGTTTGACACGTCTTGGGAAACACATATGCGCATTTTGAAAACGTTATGCTACTTGATATTACATTGAAATTTAAATTATTTTGAATCCGAAAATTGAAAGACATAACCCAGCTTTTCCGTATATACAATCAACAACATCTACATATTTCGCTGGCCGTTTCTCCTAATGTCTTCATTACATTTCTAGGTGTAACTTGCTAGGAGGTAGAAAAATGCCGAGAATAGAATTCCTGGAATTCCACTTGACATGACCTGACTCAAGTGGATTTAACATGCTCCTCATGAAGCGTCCTAGTCTATGTTGCGGCCTGGTATCCCTTCTTTCTCCCAACATGATCCCTCTTTGGGAGTGGAAACTTCCTTATGCAGGGAAATTCGGGGCGGGATCCTTTCGTTCATTCCTCCTGATGGCTTTCCACGAAACTCCTCGGCCCCCGGCGGACAGATCACGCGACTCGCAAGCATCCGCCAGCTTCCCGAGAGAGATCCCGTTCCCCACCTGAGGTCGTGCTCCAGGGCAAAGGGCCACATGTTGTTCTGCCAAATGTTGAAATCTTTTTCGGTGCAACCGATCCACTGTTCCAGGTCCCCCTTCGTGGCGAAGGCCCGTGACAACATCCTGGAAATGAACGTCCAAGAAATTTGCAAGATGAGGCGAAATAATGAAAATACTTTATTTTGATAATACGGGAGTAAAGGAACTCCATATCCCCGTCGTTTCCTGGATATATGACATAGCAAAAAGTGGAACTGTGAACAGCAAACTGTGAACATGGGTGAGTTTTAAATCAAATACAGCATTTTGGCTTAGTAATAAAGTACAGGAAGACGTTAAAATCCGTCCGTGTTGCAGGAGTGTCCTTACCTGATGAATTCTTCTCTGTCTTCTCCCGTCAGAGGCTGGATGAGGAATGAATGACTTCCTGTCCAAGATTCTCTTGCTTCCCCATCACCTCTCAAGCACATCCTGTCCAATACTTCTCCCAGATGAGGCGCCTTCAGGAACTCTCCAATGCCTGCAGCTGGTGAATGTAAGGCTTCGTTCCGGACGAACCGAATGAATAGAAGATGTGGACCGACCGATGGGGAATCCGAGATCGGTCAGGCGGATGGCAACCAGCAATGCGTTCAAGGAATTCCCGCCGATGTCAAAGAAATTCGACTGCAGATTCAGTTGTTCCTTCTTCAGACTAAATCCGAGAACGTCAGACACGACGCGAAAAAGAAAAGCAGCGGCATCTCTTTTCTCTTCCGGAAGCTTCTCCATGATGTCGCCGCCTAGAGGCACCACGGAACCTACGGGAGCATCAGGTTGCTATTGAAAATACGAAATATCGAGATGAACGTTCTTATTCCAACTTACGGGAACGGCATGCTTGAAAGGTATGAAGAAGAGCCTGCCGATCAATCTTCCCATTTGGAAGGAGTGGAATACGGGAGACCCTTACGACCTGGGGCACCATGTAATCCACCAGCAAAGACTTCAATCGATCTTGGACCTCTTCTGTCGCGACCGTACCCACGTAGAAGGCAACGATGTCCTGTCCGCATCAACAAAACAAATGAGACCGCCCTTAAGTCTCCGGCTCCCCTCGGCCGAGCGAGACCAGGCATGCAAGAAGACTCATGCGTCGTCACCTGGTCGAGGTCTCCGGGATGGTAGCAGAGGACGGTGGCTTTGGAGACGGCGAGGCCCAACTTGGCAAGAGCAGCCTCGATCTCGGACAGGTCTACTCGATGGCCTCTCACCTTCACCTGGGAGTCCGTCCTTCCTTCGAAAATCACTCGCCCGTCCACGATTCGCCCATAGTCTCCCGTTCGATA